ATATATATATATATATGCGGATTTTAAAATGTATAATTATTATTTTTTATAATACTTACAATATATTTAAATATACTTAGAAAAATGATGGCACAAATGATAGAAAGTGACGGAATACCCGTGGTATGACTCATTCGTTATCAAATAATAATATTTTTAAATGTATTTTTGTCCTGAAATGTGAATCTTGTGTTTTCTAGTCAGTCTATGCTAAGGCTGAGTCTTACTTGATTATCATACACTACATGTTGTGATTCACGTGTTATCGTGACTTTATCGTTATTTACCTTTATCGCGATAAATCATTGAGAAATGGCACGTGATATAATTTGCGGTAACTAAACACCGCCGCCTTGAATTCCCAAGCAAGGATTAAGATTAATTAGAAATATAAGGGTCGATGAACTCTATTTGTTTAAAGAGTATTAACCCGAGCGTTTCGTCGCTACTTTAAGTAGTTTGCGTCTATGTAAAAACTCGTTTTTGTTCAAATATTTTTAATGTATTTAACGAATATTGATACTAACCTTAGCAATCTGGGTACAATCAGTAAAAAATTATAACACTGTGTATGCAAACTTATTTTTTGAACCATTTAGACGGTTGCTCATCAGTTATTCGCTGTAGAAGGAAAAACATTCACGATTATTCCTCGCTTCGTTCCGATAGTGAACTAACTACATTCTGAATTTGAAATAAGTGTGAAGGCATTTAATAGGTATTTTGTTAAAGGTAAATTGATTTACGAAATGTACTGTAAACACTAATGCGTTTAAAATATTTGTATTTAGAATCATGGGCTATATACCCAAGTAGGTTTTGTTTCAAACCAAGCATCGTTTTGCTCGAAAAAAAATTGGCCAAATCGATTAAAAATGAGCAATATAATCGCATAATATAAATAGAAAATTTTAAACGCATTTAAAACCTATTTCTTGTGGAAGTTGTTCCAAAAAATTGTTTTTTAGTCGTTCTAAATTAGGCGTGACAATTCAAACATGGTTGCTAATGACCCAGCCGAGTTAATTAGTATGAAAAACACTATTAGGTGCTAAATTATAGTCCTATTACAATGTAACGAGTACAGTACTTTGGAAATTAATTATAATATTTAAAAACTAACAGGTAGGTACACTATAAGTTTTTATTCCATGGAATGTAATAACTTTGCTTGCAGTATAATTGTGTTCCATATTCTATCATATACATTCATACACGCTCGGCGGTTATAGGTGCTTTTTATTAGGCACTCCTTCAATACGTCAACCTATGTAGTCTTTCCAAACCTTCGCTTATTTTTTTCTTTTTTTATACCACTAAATATAATAAATTGTGTGAAATAAAGTAATAGTAAAGTTACCGACCCTGAAGAAACTTCTTTATTCCTTTTTTAAAAAACCCATGTTGTAGTCTCTTGGAAAACCTTTTTTTTTTTTATTATAAACGCGTAAATGAATTTTGAGTTTATTTGTAAACTCTTAGTGCCTGAACAGCTTAACCAATCACTATGTACTTTGGTACACATGTATCAAATGGTTTAGACAAGGATATGGGTTTTTTTCCTGGTCAGTGTACATATCCCGGTAACGCAAACGCAGTCACAGATAAAAGCTAGTATAAAATGATAGTGGAATTACGAATGGTAAGGATTTATATCTTGTTAGTTTACCGACGATTATGACCTAATCAGGTAGAGCGAGTCGTTAACACTACGCTTGGCGTCCTCCACACCGATCGTAACATTCGTGAGCTGGCAAGTCCAAGTTCATGAACCTGTTGCTTTCGGCAGTGGCGGCGACGGCGACGGCGGCGGCTGACAGACGGCGTTCTCTTTTTACGGCTTCATATTTGCCATTACTGTTACGCTTAGGCATTACTATTAGGGTTGTCACCTACAGTTCTTTTGGGTTATCGAGAATATAGGTTTTAAACGATTGGTTTGTGACCATACTTCTTGATTTATTATGAAATTTATTATGAAAAATACGGATTTTATATTCTAGAGTTGTCGTCTGCACTGCTTAATTTAAGGGTCGTCAAAGTACTGTTTTTACGGGCGATTATAACTGCGTTGTATTACGAAAAACAAAGAAAGATTAAATAGCTTTTTTTTTAGGAACAAAATCTTAAATAATTGTGTAAAATGTAAACGCTTGATTTTTTTTTATATTTATAATTTAAGATTGAATTCCACAAAAGAATAGTAGCAAAACCAGTAATTTTGATTTAAGAACTAAACTACTGAACCGATTTTTATAAAATTTCTACGGGACCAATCTGTAAGTATATGCTTTCAGATATAAAAAAAATCAAGAGTTTACAATTGACGCAGTTATGAGGTAACAAACAAAAAAGATACAATTGAATTGAAAATCTCCTTCTATCGAAGTCGGTTAATAGTTGTGAACTTATCTATTCACACAGATTTGATATCGTATTATTGAGTTTTTAATAGCCAACCTATGACTGACAATTAATGCCATTAGGTTATCAATTATCATTACTAATTACCCACGCACTATCATTTGTTTTTATTTAAACAGACCTTTAACTGTAAATACTATTATTAATCACGTATTTATCAATTATTAAAATATAAATAGTCATGTAGGTAGATTATTTAATTATAAATGGATTGTATAGTACATAGATAATATAATTATAGACAAATTTAAACTAGGCGTAAAATAGCGGCATGTTCTGATAACGTTTATTCACACATTCAAAATTTTTTTTTTACAACTTAGAATGGCAAACAAGCTGACGGAAACCACCTGATGGAAAGTGGTAACCGTCGCCTATAGACATGAGCAGTACCATGGACATAACAGAGTATGCTGTTTCACCCATGATACCTCCTATGCGTTGCCATTCCTGAGAACTCAGGTGTTATTCCTCTGTACCCTGTAAATTCACTGACATATCCCACCCTTCAAACTAAAATACAGCCATGCAAACACAACTGCTTCACGGTTGAAACACGAATGGGACAGAGGTACCCAAGCAAACGACTTTTGTACAAAGAATGTTCTTTTGAAAAAATATGCTAATTAGTTGTATACATTAATTATGGTAAAATGTACACTATAGTTAATCTAAAGGTAGGTTATAGGGTTTATTTCTGTATAAAATTTCATCTTAAACAGTTCAGCGGATTACGCGTGATTGTTTGACGTAATTACCCATCTTTACAAACTTTAATGTTCATATTTGATTTGTCGTAAGAGCCACAAGGCGATTACGCCATTATTGTTACGCGATTTTAAGTGAACAATTAAAGAATCTAAAAGTATTCTCTGTTATAAGTTGTATTAAAGAATGCATTAAAAATATTTTTAATAAATTTTCACTGAGAAAAGAATAGGGACTTCCACGTTTTTTTATACAATATGTCTTATGTGTTTTTATTTACTTGGCCATACTTAGTAAAAAATCTTATCGTGTTTTATCATTTATTGAATTGAGTCATTTGGGAATCAAATAGACGATAGAGTAATAATTTCGTTTTAACTTTTTTTTTGCTCGGGTTTTTCCTTTATTTTTTGATAAAATAACATGTCAACATTTTTTACCAATTATGCCAATTATAAACTGGACTACGACAAATAAGGATTTAACAGATTGGACTAAATAAATTATTTTTTATGCAATTTACAATGGCTAACAAGCTGACAGCCCACCTGATGGAAAGTGATAACCATCGCTTAAAGATGTGAGCAGTATCATGGACATAACAGAGTATATTGTTTCGCCCGTGATATCTCCCATGCATTTTCATTCCTGAAGACTCAGGTGTTATTCCTCTGTACCCTGTAAATTCACTTATCCCACCCTTCAAACCGAAACACAGCCATGCAAACACAATTGTTTCACGGTTGAATCGGACAGAGGTTCCCAAGCAAACGCCTTTTGTACAAAGTCTCCTTCTGGTAAAAATCAATGTAACAACACTCTTATGAACTATTTACTCAAAGATATTTGTTTATTTATTTATTTACTACTTTTATTTGTTTGTTTACTTGTTTATTTATTAACGATGTCATAAATATTCGTATATGTAAATATATCAGACACCTAGATATGTAATTACTTATTAATATTTGTAATAAAGATATTAGATAATCGACTTAATGAAATACTATATTAAAAATATTTGATAACATATTGATAATGTGTATTTTTATTGTTGATTAACAGTTATCGTGCGTTATACTGCATTATAATTGTCTATTTATTTCATTAATCTCAGCCATTATCCGGCCCACTACTGAACTACACTAGGCCTCCCCCATAGACTGCCATAAAGAACGGTCCTGAGCCACCTGCATCCGCTGACTCTGAAACGCATTTGAGGTCGTCAATCCATCTAGTGGGGGGTCGTCCTATACTGTATTTAGAGTCGCCACTCAAGAACCTTTCTTTCCCATCGGTTGTCGGCTCTTCGAGCTATTTGACCAGCCGATTGCCACTTTAACTTGTTTATTCAAATATATATATTTAATACCAAATTTCACATCAAAAATTATGCAATGACATAATGACATAATGAAAGTGTTTAATGAATAAAAACTATTGTTCCCTGTACTTATACATTGTTATTGAAAACTTTAAAAAAAAGCAGCATTACAAGAAGCAAGGTAAAGAGGCAATGATGTGCGGCCTTATTGCTAAATAGCTATTTCTTCTAGACAATCTCTTGCTTAGAATGGAGAGGAGTAGTTAATCTGAGTTCTTGTGGCCAATGAACAAACCCGTAAGTCTAAGTTTTAAAACACAAACAAACTTTTCGTGATTAAAGAATAAACACAGATAATAAAAATAAAATAAGATAATAATAATAAAGTTCAGGACCGTTCTTTACGGCAGTCTATGGGGAAGGCCTATGTCCAGCAGTGGACAGATAATGGCTGAAATGATGATCATGAATTATAATATCGATTTTTCTTTTGTCTAGATGTTTGAATGCATTTACTTAATTTTCAATCGCAATTTGTTGCCAGGTTTGAACTCCGGCGCACCCTGCTCGTGTGGAACAGCGCGCTCGCCGCCTTCAGCATCATGGGCGCATGCCGGACGTTGCCTGAATTCATCCATGTACTCAGGAACCATGGCATCTACCATTCCATTTGTGTCCCTAGGTGAGTACTTTTTTTTTATTTGTCATGTTGACGTGTGATATAACACGGTTTCGTGCCAGCATCGTCGTAATCGTCGTAAATAGTGGTTATACACGTTCATGACAATAAACTTGAACATGTTATTCTCTTTAAAGAGCAGGATTACTATGTCGCACGCGTCAAATTGTGTTATGAATTTAAAAAGCTCGAGAATCACTAGAACCGCCGGTTTTTCGTTTATTTTTTTTGACAAATTTTGACTATTTTGATCCAAGTGTGCAGCTGATTGAAAAAGGCGTCCAGTGAGCTAAATAGCAGAGCCGACACTGAGGTGTCATTTCTCTAAATTTATTTTATTTTAAATATATATATATATATATATATATATATATATATATATATATATATATATATATATATATATATATATACAAACTAGTATATTTACATTGGCAGGTTGTATAAAATAAGTCCTATATTCATGTAATATATTTTTTTTTATTTCTGGACATCGTAACTGATTCCGACCGTATATTCTCACCATATGACGCCGCAGTTTTATTTAAAAGAGCTCTAACATAAGTGACTCGATTACAATATCATCGAATAATTTTTATATAAAGACAGTACGATAGAACACGATTATACTTAATATATTATATAATTAAAATATTATGTAACTATATTAAAATATTTTTTAATAAATTATTTATAATTTAAATTTTATATGAACACGATTCGATGACATTGTGATTGGACGATGACAATTGACACAAGTCAAGGACGAGAATACGAATCGTTACAATGACTGATTCGATACGATATCGCTGCGGATTTTATTATGGGAATTGAGACAGACGGCACTTAAGCGTTGCAATTTACCACTATTGTTATATGAAGGTCTTTAGTTGGGAACCATATTAAAATTGCAATGCTCAAACCAACCGTAGGTTGATTACCTATTTAACAAGCATTGACTTTGTGAGTAAATATTGAACGGTATAGCACGATTGCTTCTTAATAGCTATATGGATTAGACGCATTTTTCTCTGACAAACGGCGCTATTATTGTTCAGTATATAGATCTAATTCATAATAGTAATTTTAGTTTCTAAATAGTAATGTAGAAACAAACAAACGCTGTATTATCGCTTTCAACTACCTAATACAAAATATATAAAAAAAGAAGAGAGACAAAAAATATTGGACAATTTTCCGCTATCGTTATATGTTTACAAGATACGCAATCAGGGGTAGGTAAAAGGCCGGCAGCACACCTACAATGCCGCTGGTGTTGTGGGTGATCATGGGCGGAGGTAGTCACTTACCATCAGGTGAGCCGCATGCTCGTTTGCCCCCTGTGTTTTAAAAAAAAAAGATATATTTTGATTATGGTACAGAATATAAATTGCAATTAAGCTGCTTATTAACATAATTAATAAATGAGACCAAGTTACCCATTTCGGTGACTGAGTCTCTCTCTGGATCTTGTAAGACATCTGTGTCCTATTCATTCATGTCTAATCAACAGTATCTTGTCAACATTTGTATGTGTATCATAAATCATTGTTATCATATAGTAGATACACATACATTTATAGTAGATGTCACGTAATTGGATACTATACGGCAATCAACGTTGTATCACGTCCGTGATAGATCTTGATAATATTGTGCTAATTGTAGCGCGTGCGCTTAATTAATTGTGTGCTATTCGACTGTTCAAAGGAAAATTAGATTTTTTGATTTTGTCAAATGAAAATTGTACAATATATATGTATATATATATATATATATATATATATATATATATATATATATATATATATATATATATATATGTACACACTTGTATAGGGTTGCCTATTCAGCGGTCAACCACTCATCCACTCAGTAGCAGTCTGGACGTCCATTTACTTTTCTTAAATCTCCCCCACACTCGGCTATATAAGCTGAGAGTCGAAAAGTAATAATAATATAGTATAACTAACTATAGTATATATATAAAAAATAATTTAATAAATGTAGAGTTTAGTGTTTTTTTTTTAATGGGTGATAATGGAATAGTAACCCTGCATGCGCTATCCGTATAAGCTGGCAGGGCACAAGTGAGACCACTCATGATAGGTGAGGATGAACTCGGCTATATAGGTCAGTAATAATAATATCATACCCATCATGACAATATATATATATATATATATATATATATAACCACGATGGTTTCCAGTGTAGGGGATAATGGAGGTCGACCTGATAGGGTGTATCACTGGCAATGAGTCATTTAGACCCTGTTACTAACAATCCCTTTCCCTCCAAGAGTGTAGTGTAGAGGAAGACCTAAAAGAGATGTATGGACTGTTTGATAGATGCTATGGCCAGAAAGGGAGTTACTAATGAGATTACTGTAAATAGAAACGAATGGAAAAGAAAGAGATGCGAGTCATGGTATCCCTGTACCAAATACAATGAACACTGTATGTAAGCAACTCATTTCAACCAATTTCAATAAAAAAAAAATTATTGAATAAATTTACTTATAGGAAAAAAGGAGTATAAAAATATTTACCGTCTGGAAAATAGTTTTACTTATTTCTTTTACTAATTATGCTGAGTAAAATAAATAAAATAGAAAGAATGTTGCTTATTGAGAGGTTGCTCTTATATAGAACGTTCACTGCATCATCAGAATTAATTCGGCTCCAAATCTATGAAAACCAATTGTGTAAAAAAATGTCATGTAATCATGCTATATGTTTCACATATTTATGTTAATTATACTTTTTTTAGACTCGTGCTAAGTAATATAAATAATTTGTAAATGTTTTGTAATAAATGTTGTTTAGATTTGCGAATGGCAAAAAAAATATTGGTTATTTTTAAACAATTTCACAAAAAGACAGATTCATAAATATCATGGATCTATTATATTTATTTACATTATCAATTTAACTCTTGCCTTTTTTTACGTTAGCGACAAAAAAGTTACGACATTGGCGACTTTAAATACAACAATAGCAACAAAAAAAAATACAAACAAATCGATAATTTCCTCCTGTTTACAAGTTGTAAATAAAGTTGAATTAAAACCGTCCTCTTATTTTATAGTCGGTTAAAAACTCGTACTATGCATGTCGAGGTGAACAAGGAAATCCCTTAGATTGTATAATATCTATTATTAAGTATTCTACGATACTCTGCCATAACCATACGAAGGTGAACTAAGTACGTAGAGCCTAGTGCTAATGAGTCGTATCTATACTACCGTGGTGTAATATTATATTTAATGGCACAAATTAACATACAGATAACATTTTCCATTCCTTTATTAGTGAATTGTTTGTACTAATAATTTAAAATTGTCCCCTACTAAAAAAAAATAACGTTGACTTCAAAAAAGAATTTTCAGAATACCATACATTTAAAATTCACGAAGATATAAAAGAAAAAGGAAAAATAAAGTGAAAACCATAATAATATAATTAAAGATTGTGTTCAATAAAAAAAAAAAACCGACTTCCATTGCGACAAAACCATTTATATTGATGTAAAAATTAAATTACTGGGCCGATTTTAATAGAATTTCTGTGGGACCAATCTGTAAGATAAAAAAATATATAAATCGGATTAGAACTGACAGAGTTTTGAGCTCTTCAAAAAGGGTATATTAAGGTCTCTTCAGGGTCGGTAACGCGCACGTCGACACCCCTGCTGTTGTAGGCGTCCGTAGGCTACAGTAACTGTTTACCATCAGACGAGCTGTACGCTTGTACAAAAAATTGTGTCCTTGTATAAAAAAAATACAATAGTTTTTGAGAAACTCTTTGTTTTTGAAGTCGGTTGATAATGTTCAGCTAGTAATAATGCTTTTAGTAATTTGTTTATTCGATGACTTTTCCATGCAATTCAATGCACATAATCTCATTTGCACTCAACCGGTTTTCGATGTGTCTTTATGGGCTGTGACGCACATACCTCCGTGCTATTTAACAAATAAATGGACGAGGAGATTGTATTTGTGATGATAAATTTCCATGACGTGTGTTTGCGCGGAACTCGTTTATTTTAACACTGGTTATGGTTCTGCATAATGATATATTCATATATATCTTTTTTTTTAATCAGTCTTTGATGTGTATGGCATGCATTTTTACATTCAAAATAAACAATTGGTACGTTAGTTGATGCAGGTGGAGGGAAAAGGGATTGTTAGCAATGGAGTTTGACAGCCCCATTGCTAGCAATATGCCTTATTAGGTCGACCTCCCCTGCCTTATTAGGTTCCCCTTGGAAACCATCGTGAACAATTCTTGTTGAATTCGTTACGATGGGCTAACTGACCTGCTTCATACTCACCTATCATCCTTCACTGGTGCCCCGCCGGTGTATACCGATAGCGCGAGTGGGGCTACCATTCCATTATCATCTATTAAAAAGTTGATGCAGGTGGTTTAGGACTGTATTGTGGTAACTTATGGATAGATAAATTCTTTACATTCAATGCGATCATCCCATCAGCCGTTAACTGTCCACTGCTGAATAAATGAAAAAGCCTCCCCCATAAGGTAGATTTTGCCAGTAGTTGCCACGCTTGGTAGGCCGGTTGGTAACCGCAGTTAGGCTTTGGCGATGTTTTGAGAAGGACGCTGCTGCCCTCTCTCTCTCTCTCTCTCTCCCTCCCTTAGTTGCCTCTTACGACACGCACAAAAAAGAAAAAGATAAGTCACTCTATGCCGGGACCTGACAACTGACCGAATATTATGGTTAATGAAATTATTCTCTATCTATAATTTACTGCGTTGTGAGGGAGACTTTGTACAAAAGTCGATTGCTTGGGTACCTCTGTCCCATTCGTGTTTCAACCGTGAAGCAGTTGTGTTTGCATGGCTGTGTTTCGGTTTGAAGGGTGGGATATGGCGTGAATTTACAGGGTACAGAGGAATTTATAGAATGGCAACAGAGGAATAACGTTCTGAGTCCTCAGAAATGGCAACGCATGGGGGGGGATATGGCTATGAATT